AAAGAATGGCTGCTATCATGAAATCAACCAATAACAAATGCTGGCGGGGCTGTGGGGAAAGAGGAACCCTGCTACACTGCTGGTGGGAGTGTAGACTGGTGCAACCACTGTGGAAATCAGTGTGGTGATATCTCAAAGAACTAGGACTGGAAGTCCCATTTGACCCACCTATTCCCCTGCTGGGTATCTTCCCCAAAGAATGAAAAAAATCATACCACAGTGATATATGTGCATCCATGTTCATAGCAGCACAATTTGCAATAGCTAAAAGTAGGAAGCAGCCCAAATGCCCATCAACTGGAAGCTGGATAAAGAAAATGTGTTTTTTTATAAAGTGGAATACTACTCAGCCATAAAAAATGAGAAATTAGAAACATTTATAGTTAAATTGGTGCACATTGAGGCAATAGTCTTAAGTGAAATAAATAGGACACACATGTGTAAATACTGAATAGTTTCTCTAATGTGACAAACTGAAAGTGCAAATAAGGACTAAAAGGTATAATAGATAATGTGAAATAGGAAGAAAAGGGGCAAAGGGGAAGGGGAAGTGGGAAGGATGGGGAAAGAAAGAAGGGAATGGAATTAATATGAGAAAAATGAAAAAATGGAAACAAAGTCTTTGTTAATAGGAAGAGATGGAGGGGTTGAAGGGAGGGCAGGGGAAGGGAGAAAAATAAGAACCAAGAACTTATGTAAAGGTCCAAATTTCCAATGATGAATGTCATTATATTGTATACCTAAAATATACCAATAAAATAATATTACAAAAGTGACAACAAGCTGAAATAAACTAAGTTTGAACCTCAAACTTCTAGAAAAAGAACAAGTCAACCCCAAAGCTTTCACAAGAGAGGAAATTATAAACTTTAGAGCAGAAATTACTGCAGTTGAGACTAAGAAAACAATATACAGAATCAGTGAGTTAGAGTTGGTTCTTTGAAAGATTAAATTTAATTGATAAACCCTTAGCCAACCTTATAAAAAAAAAGAAAAAAACTCAAATTCATGCAATTGGAAATGGAAAGGGTGAAATCACAAGATCCTGGGGAAAATCCAGAAGATCATCAGTACCTACTTTGAGAACCTGTTCTCTAACAAGATGGAAAACACAGAAAAAAATGGGCAGATTCCTAGATACATACGCATTACCAAAGCTGAATCAAGAGGATATAAAAGTTCTAAACCACCCAACCCCAGAGATTTAACTTAGTGGTGCTGCCATCTGCCTTGCAAGTCCAAGGTCCTGCATTTAATTCCTGGTATCAAAATAAATATTCTAAACCACCCAATATTAGTCAATGAAATAAAAACATAATTAAAAACTTACCAACAAAGGAAATCCCAGGTCCTGATGGATTCATTGCTGAATTCTACAAGAAATTTAGAGAAGATCTACTGCCAATTCTCTTCAAACTTTTCAATGAAATAGAAAGGAAAGCAGTACTTCCCAAAGCATTCCTGGAAGCAAGTATTACTCTGATACCAAACCAGAGAAGATCCCAACCAAAAAGCAAAACTACAAGCCAATCTCCCTAATGAACATAGATGCAAAATTCCTCAATAAGATATTGGCAAACAAAATGCAACAAATCATCAAGAAGATTATACACCGTGACCAAATAGGATTCATTGTAGGGATGCAGGGATGGTTCAACATACACAAATCAACAAATGTAATACACCAAATCAACAAAGCCAAAGACAAAAATCACATGATCATCTCAATAGACACAGAAAAAGCATTTGACAAGTACAACGCTCATTCATGATAAAAAAAAAAAAAAACTATAGAAAATAGGAATCAGTGGTCTTTATCTCAATCTGATAAAAGCCATCTCTGACAAACCAATAACCAACATCTTACTAAATGGTCGAAAATTTAAAGCTTTCACACTAAAATCAGGAACAAGATAAGGATGTCCACTATCACCACTCCTGTTCAACTTAGTTCTGGAAACATTAGCTAGAGCAATTGGAGAAGAAAAGGAAATAAAAGGAACAAACATAAGAAAGGAAGAAATTGTTATCATTATTTGCAGATGACATCATTCTCTATACAGAAGACCCCAAAAACTCCACCAAAAAACTTCTAGATTTAATACTCACATTCAGTAGCTAGCTTTTTACAAAGTCCACATTCAAAACTCAATAGCATTCTTGTACACAACAAAATCATTGAAAAATTAGGGAAACAACACCTTTCACAATGACACCAAAGAAAATGAAATACTCAGGAATCAATCTAATAAAGGACCTATAGGTAGAAAACTACAGTACTCTTAAGGAAATTGAAGAGGATATCAGAAGATGGAAAGATATCCCCTGCTCTTGGGTAGGAAGAGCCAACATAGTGAAAATGGCCATACCCCCAAAATTGTTATACAGATTTAATACAATCCCAATCAAATTAACAGCATACCTCACAAAACTAGAGAAAACATTCCTAAAATTCATTTGGATCCAGAAGAAACCTAGAATAGCAAAAACAATTCTGAGCAACACAGGCAGGGGGCATCACAATCCCTGACTTAAAATTATAGTACAGAGCCACTGTGATAAAAACAGCATGGTACTGGCAAAAAATAAACCTGAGGATCAAAGGGAACAGGCTAGAAGAGGTGGAAAAAAGACCAAACACTCAGCCACCTTACCTTTGACAAAGGGGCCAAACATGTTCACTGGAGGAAGGATACCCTCTTTTATAAGTGGTGCTGGAAAAACTGACTTTCTACATGTCAAAGATTAAAACTACATCCATATCTCTCACCATGTACTAAACTAAAGTCAAAATGGATCAAACATCTAAATATTAAAACAGAAACACTAAATCTGTTGGAAGAGAGAATAGGTAGCACTCTTGAGGCCATAGGAGTAGGCAATGACTTCATGAACAAAACCCAAACTGCACGGCAAATAGTGCAAAGATTCAGCTGATTCAGGGATCTGATCTTATTAAAAAGGTTTTGCACTGCAAAAGAAATCGACAGAGTGAAGAGACAGTCCAAAGAGTGAGGAAAAATTTTAGCCAGTAATGCTTCAGATAAAAGACTAATATCTAGAATGTACAAAGAATTGAAAAAAATCAGGCTCTCCAAATTTAAAGACCCGATCCTAGAATTGGCATCTGAATTGAATAGACACTTCTCAGATGAAGAAGTAGAAATGGCAAACAAATATGAAAAAGTGTTCAACATCACTGGTCATCCAAGAGATGCAAATTAAAACAATGCTGAGGTTTCATCTCACTCCAGAAAGAATGGCTGTTATCAAGAAATCAATGAACAACAAATGCTGGTGAAGTTGTGAGGAAAAAGAAACCCTTCTCCACTGATGGTGGGAGTGCAGTCTGTTGGAACCATTGTGGAAATCAGTGTGGAGATTCCTCAGAAAATTAGGTTTAGAAGTCCCATTTGACTCTGCTGGGTATCTTCCCAAAGGAATTAAAAGCCTTGTACAACAATAATATGTGTGCACTCATGTTTATAGTGACACAGTTTGTAATAGCTAAATCTTGGAAACAATCCAAATACCCATCAACCAATGAATGGATAAAAACATGTGGTTTTTTTATACATTGGAGTACTACTCAGCCATAAAGATAAACTTGAGACATTTATAGCTAAATGGATGCAACTTGAGACTATACTCTTAAGTGAAATAAATAGCTCATTGTCTCTCTAGTGTGAGAGACTGAAAAGGTAAATAAGGACCAGAATTATAATAGATAATAAGAAATAGAAACTGTTCAAAAGGAAAGAGAAACTAGGAAAGGGGGATGGGGGAAGGAAAAAATTGATAAGGAAAAAATGGAAATAAGGTTTTGTAAATAAGGGGGGAGGGAAGGTTAAAGGAAGGGGAATGGGAGAAAAAGAATCAAGCTATATCATATACAGGTACAAACTCCCTTTGATGAATGTGATTATTATGTATATTTAAATTGTACCAATAGGAATACCTCTCCTGAGTATAGTCACAAAAGTGTTAAAATCTTCATATTATACTGATGCATGCATATCCATACTCAAAGCAGGACAATTTATAACAGCTAACCTCTGGAATCAGCCTAGCTGTCCAACACTGGTTGCATGAATAAAGAAAAATTTTGATAGGCTCAGTGTGATGATGTATTCCCAGAACTCTGGGAAGCTAATTCAGCAGGATGACAAGTTGAAGCTAGCTTGAGCAACTTAATTATTAAGGAGAATCTTTCAAAATAAATTAAAAAGCTGGAGATGTAATTCAGTACTAAGACTTGTGTTTAATTACCAGCACTGAAAAGGAAGAGAAAAAGAAAACATGTGCTACATAATCAGTCATAAAGATGCATGATATTATCTCATTTGCCAAAAGAAATGGGTGGGCCTTCATCCTATAGTGTTAAGTGAAATAAGTCAGACACAGAATGTGAAAGATCACATACTTTCTCTTATATGAGAAACCAAAAATATAAATTAGGCCGTAAAATAAAGGAGTCATGATTTAAAAAGGAAAGTCCGACTTTGGAGATGGGGAAAAACAAACAGGATAAGGAGAAAAAGGAGAGGGTGATGGGGGAAAAGGTATCAAATGATCAATATGTGATATACATATGTATCAATTGCCCAAAATGAAACTAAGCCTTCTGTATTGCAAAATGTACTAATTTTAAAATTCCCAAATGAAAACCACTCTTGGAAATGGCTGTTTTGAAGTTATCCTCCACAGCATTCAGTTAATTCATTGTCAGAATTTTCTAAGGGTCATCAAACCAGAACTCATGGTAAATCATTAATGTGGAGACCCATTTTATTGTGACTTTTTTTTTCTTTACAGAAATGAAGAGGTAGAGAAGTGCTTTCAAAATAAAGGTTGGAATCAGTTTGAAGAAATATTTCTTTGTACTCCAGATGCTAATGTAGACAAGAAACAAGCTGGTTTAACACCAGCTGAAAGCCTTGCTTGCAAAAAACCCCCGATTGGGCATTTGTCACTAAATGTCCCCATCATAGCTCACACTGGACTGAACACATCTGACTTGGGATTGGAAGAGATGTTTTATTGTTGTGATGATGGTGGAACCTCTTGTTTTCCGTTCTTTTCGGAGGGTTGCAAAACCAAGGCTTGGGGGGAACCCTTTTGATTTTGTTCATTTTGGAAATCCTACCCTGATCTTAGTGAAAGTATTCACCTTAGAGAGAAGACCTTCGTATATAAGAAAAATTTGAAAGCCACCAGCACATACAGTGATGTTCAGATCCATGAAAGAAATCACAATGGAGGGAAACTCTATGTATGTATGCAGTGTGGGAAAGCTTTTAATACACAAGGTTATTGTAAAATACATGAAAGAATTCACACAGGAGAGAAACCCTATGTATGTAAGCAATGTGGAAAAGCTTTTAGCACACGTGATGGTTGTCAAAGACATGAAAGAACTCACACTGGGGAGAAACCCTATGTATGTAAGCAGTGTGGAAAAGCTTTTCGTACACAAGGTTGTTATAAAAAACATGAAA